CCTCCCTCCCTCCCTCCCTCCCTCCCTCCTCCTTTCTCCGGCAGCAGAAAGCGGAGAGTCACAGCGGGGCCAGGCCCTGGGGAGCGAAGCCTCCACCGCCCCCCTCATTCCCAGGCAAGGGCTTGGGGGGAATGAGCCGGGAGAGCCGGGTCCCGAGCTTCCAGAGCCGGGAGCAGCTGAGCCGCCGGCGCCTCGGCCGCCGCCGCCTCCTCCTCCGCCGCCGCCAGCCCGGAGCCTGAGCCGGCGGGGCGGGGGGGAGAGGAGCGAGCGAGCGAGCGCAGCGCAGCAGCGGAGCCCCGCGAGGCCCGCCCGGGCGGGTGGGGAGGGCAGCCCGGGGGACTCGGCCCCGGGGCGGGGTGGGAGGGGGGGAGAAGACGAAGACAGGGCCGGGTCTCTCTGCGAACGAGACAGCGGGGATCATGGCCGCGCAGGTCGCCCCCGCCGCCGCCAGCAGCCTGGGTAACCCGCCGCCGCCGCCCTCGGAGCTGAAGAAAGCGGAGCAGCAGCAGCGGGAGGAGGCAGGGGGCGAGGCGGCGGCGGCAGCGGCCGAGCGCGGGGAAATGAAGGCAGCCGCCGGGCAGGAGAGCGAGGGCCCCGCTGTGGGGCCGCCGCAGCCGCTGGGAAAGGAGCTGCAGGACGGGGCCGAGAGCAATGGGGGTGGCGGCGGCGGAGCCGGCAGCGGCGGGCCCAGCGCGGAGCCGGACCTGAAGAACTCGAACGGGAACGCGGGCCCTAGGCCCGCCCTGAACAATAACCTCACGGAGCCGCCCGGCGGCGGCGGTGGCGGCAGCAGCGACGGGGTGGGGGCGCCTTCTCACTCGGCCGCGGCCGCCCTGCCGCCCCCAGCCTACGGCTTCGGGCAGCCCTACGGTCGGAGCCCGTCCGCCGTCGCCGCCGCCGCGGCCGCCGTCTTCCACCAACAACATGGCGGACAACAAAGCCCTGGCCTGGCAGCGCTGCAGAGCGGCGGCGGCGGCGGGGGCCTGGAGCCCTACGCGGGGCCCCAGCAGAACTCGCACGACCATGGCTTTCCCAACCACCAGTACAACTCCTACTACCCCAACCGCAGCGCCTACCCCCCGCCCCCCCAGGCCTACGCGCTGAGCTCCCCGAGAGGCGGCACTCCGGGCCCCGGCGTGGCGGCAGCTGCGGGTTCCAAGCCGCCTCCCTCCTCCAGCGCTTCGGCCTCCTCGTCGTCTTCGTCCTTCGCTCAGCAGCGCTTCGGGGCCATGGGGGGAGGCGGCCCCTCCGCGGCCGGCGGGGGAACCCCCCAACCTACCGCCACCCCCACCCTCAACCAACTGCTCACGTCGCCCAGCTCGGCCCGGGGCTACCAGGGCTACCCCGGGGGCGACTACGGCGGCGGGCCCCAGGACGGGGGCTCCGGCAAGGGCCCAGCGGACATGGCCTCCCAGTGCTGGGGGGCCGCGGCGGCGGCGGCGGCGGCAGCCTCGGGAGGGGCCCAACAAAGGAGCCACCACGCGCCCATGAGCCCAGGGAGCAGCGGCGGGGGCCAGCCACTCGCCCGGACCCCGCAGGTACACGGCTGAGTGGGGAGGGGGCTGGGGGAATCGGGGTCCTGAGGGTGGGGAGGGGCCGCAGGGAGCCGGTCACAGCCGTGGGCTTCCCCCCACAGTTCGAGGCCCCCACTGCTGGGGAGCTGCCATTGTCTGGCTCTTCTCTCTTAAAATGGCTGCCTGTCTGCCTTCCTCTCTTTCCCTCCTTCAGTCTTTGTGTGGGGCTTTCCCAGAGGTGTCTGCACCCCTTCTCCCTTTTTCCTGCTCTCTTCGAACCCCGGGGGTCTTCAGGAGGGTGCGAGGCAGAGTGTGCAGGGGAAGGACCTGGCCTGGGGTGAGAGGGGTTGCGGGGGGCTCTGGTTAAGGGTATGGTTCGTGGCAGGAGCTTGGGAGTTGAACGGGTTTTTTGCTCACCTGCCGCTCCTCTCTGTCCCCCTGCCTTCTTCTAGGCCGCCCCCCCATCCTTATTTTCAAGCAGGGGCCCCTCGGACTCGTGGGGTCCTCGAGAGAGGGCAGGGGCCTGCTTAGAGGCATCTAGAGGCCGGCTGTGGTTCACCCAGGGCAGCCCTGGCCATCGCCTGTCTTAGTCTCCGTGGCCCAGTGGCCTGGGCTTCTCCCTGGAAGTGCTGGTAAACAGCTGAGTGATTGGAGTAGTAAGTGCAGATTGCTTTGGTTTGGGATTTGAATTATGGAGGTAAAATCCTTCTGTCAAAGCCAGGAGACAGTTGGTCTTAGGTTGACATCCTATCTGTGATCTGATTGGCTCCCCATCTCCTGCTCTTGGCCATTTATAATTGCCTCTGATGTAATGGTACAACAATCCTGATGAGCTCATAAACTTTTACACTCTGCTTTTCTGCCAGTGATAACCCAAACCATCGCTACCACTATCTGCCTTTTATTCCAGAGCTGAAATTGGCTGTGACCTTGAGAGGGAGGTTTAAGCAGCAATACTGTATCAGCAGGAGCAGAGCCCCAGACAGGCTGCCCTTGTTACATTGTGCTTGAAACAAAAGAAGAGGGAATGGCATTTTGCTTGTACCTTGGATTTATTTTGCTTGTTATGTTTTATGCTGCCTGAAATAGATTCTGTGTGTTAGAACAGTAGCTGAGTTTTTCTCTACAATGGGTTTGCTGTTTGTTTTGGTTTTGTGACTTTCTTGATGGTATAAATGACTTCTTTGATGGCTCTGAAGACGCATTTGTCTTGAGTATTTTTGACCCTGTTGGCATTGCAGAATTGAAATTATTTAACTGGACATTTTATTGAGTAGTGAATGTGGGATTTTAATAGGAAGATGGAAGAAAACATAATTTGTTGTGTTTTTAGTTTTGAGAATTGGAAGCTTTCAGAGGGAGAATTTCATATTAGGTGCAAGTGTTTGGTTTTAAGGAAGGCGGGCCCTATTCTTTGTTTACATGTTGAATCTTGTTAACACTTTCTTTTGTTAATTGAACTTCGAGAGCAGCTCAATTTAAAGAGAAGACATTGTCTTTCAGAATTATGATAAGGGCTTTGTTCCTAAAGCCTTGATTTGGTAAAATTTATCATTTATAAGGTTCCAAAATGGCTGGTTTTTAAATTGTGATGTACTTTTAGAGCTTTGAAAAAGAGATGAAACAATTTTTCTCTATGCATTCTAAGATATGGTCCTTTAAAAAAAAAATCCTGTTTTCTAAGCTACAAAGATGGGACCGTAAATAGTGATACTTAAGATTTGCCTAAATAGTACAACTTCTAGGTGGGTTTTTATATACTCTTTTATTTTGCTTTTATTCACTCTTCACATTGGTTCCCTTCAAGGTTTTGGCATATAGGATAGTCTGTGTACCCATGTATCTTTTTAAAGAGGAGAGAAACTTCTTTTAGACTCTCCCTCAGCAGTAGCTTGTACCTTTGTGCCACTAAGAGATTTTGTTCATTTTGATGTCTCAATTAGCTGTGTTTTCTTCCTATGCTAGAAATGCATTTCTGGTTTTCTATTGAGTTGGAAATTTTGAAAATTGTTGACTAGTAACCTTAGATACTTGTACTTTGACTCTAAATCTTGCATGTACAAAAGATAGGGGAGTTTTAGATTTGTATTTTTAGTGTTTGGAGAATAGGTTTTGGGTTAGAATACAGAATGTTCTTTTTGCCAGTAGTTTATTCTATAATTTATACTTGTTCTTCCTTTTCCTTCTGGGTTATATGTATATGTGTTTGATTGGATTTTTTTTTTCTGATAATTTACTCTTCTTGAAAATTATTAAGGGAAGCAATTTGAAAAATAAATTAGATTTGAATTCTATTTGTTTGGGAATAGTCACGCAAACTTTATTCTAAAATCTGTTTTTGCAGTTTAGGGATTTTTGTTTTCCAAGCATTAAACTGAATTTGTTGTTTTGTTCTTTCCTGGGTGAATAGTAAGAAAATGGACAGTCCTTGATTAGAAGTTTGTGCTTGGTATGAGTGTTGTGATTCTCCTTTAATACCATCAGCCCCACATTTCATTTTCCTTCTCAGTTATGAGACCTGTGAAGTAGGCTGGTGAGCATTTGGTTGTGGAAGACACCATGTAGCTCACAATTTTGTGGATTACTTCAAATGTGTGGGCTTGTATAGACGAGAATTGTAGGTTGATGTATTTTCTGAATTTCTCTTTGCTACTTAAGGATAAACCTTTGATCAGTCCATAATGCCTTACTATTAAGTATTCCTACATAATAGTGCCTTTTGTTTCCTTTCCTTATCTCAGTCCTGAGTTAAGAATATATTGATATTTTCCAGAGATTTTATTGGCACAGCTAAAGATGGTACTGTTCTCATTTGATTCTTGTTGGTGCTCTAGTGGCCTAGTTGTTAAGGAGTTAGTTGTACTAGCAGCCCAAAGGCAGGCAGTAGGTTCAAATCCACGAGCTGCTTTGCACGAGAAAGAGGGGCAGTCTTCAGTGTGATGTATAGTCTCTGAACACCTGCTGGAGAGTCAGCTATGAGTCATTCCGAATCAACAGCGATATTTTAGGGGTTTTATGAAATAAAGATTAAGTAAGCATGTATATTGTGGCTATGTATTTTTCTATGTGTAGAAGCTGAGATGATCCCAGTAAAACTTTTCCATTGTCATCATCTTCATGAAGTGTTCTGTCAAGGTGTTGAATCTTGCTAGTGATGAAATAGCTTTAGGTCATCTTTGTCCCTATGCTTTTAATTGTGGCGTCCTGCCACCCATCTAGCTTCTCTCTCTCATTGCTGTGGAGTCAGACCAACTCATTGCAGAACTTCCAGCATGTTTTTTTCAGAGGCTGTAAATCACTTAGGAGGCGCTTGCCCATCTTTTGGTTAAAATGGCATACAATATGTAAAAGCAGCATTTTCATGGTAGAAATTTGGCTGTTGACTCTTGAGAAACAAACATAGGAATCCTGAGTTTATATGGGAATGCCTACTGGCAAAAATTCTGAGCTGGCTGAAATACAGGACTCTTGAAACTCCCTCGAGTAGGAGGGACTAGGGAAACAACACTGAGATGATGCTTTTTAGTTGTGTGAGCTTCATGTTTCTTGCATGTCCATGAACTGAGGATGTTGAGGATTGGAATGATAGTGCAAGAAGAGAGAATGCGACTAGGACCAAGATGAACCTAGTGTGTATCAGTCCCTGAAATGACTTTTTAAATTCTTTCCTTTGTGCGTCACACAGAATAACCATGACATATAGTACCTGTTGTAACAAGAGGTCTTGGGTTGCATTAAATATTCATATGTTGGATTAACTCCTGTTGGGTGTGATACCTACTATAGGCCTTTTTCAAGGAGGTTGGTAAACTTTTTCAAATGTAGAACTAAGCTAAGAAAATGTTATGGACAGTGTTCTTTCTCATTGTAGTTCCCACAAGGCGGTATTAATTGACTTCAAATGCTTAAACTCTAAAAGCAACTGAAGCGTGCATGTAAATATGGTTAAAATATAATAGTAAAAAAAAATTGGTACTAAAGAGTTCTTTCCTGCCAGTGAGCTATTATGATACCTTGGGCTCTGAAATAGAGTTCTAATTCCCATAGTTTTTCCCCTCAATTTTCCTTGTTTAGATTGGTCATCATAACTGGTACACACTGAGTTGTGTGTGGCACAGTGATTAGGAGTAATGCACAGGATTCACAAGAGGAGGGAGGAGGAAGAATCTTGGCTTTGGGGTTATACTGCCACTCTGGAATGAGCAGTGTGGCATTAGGCAAGTCATTCACTTTATCTGGATTTCATTTTTTTATCCGGTTTTCGATTTTTCCAGAGAAAATCAAATTGGTACTGCATGACTTTCTTATTCTTGGATACTTCACAGCTGTCTGTGCCCTGGATTGTTTTGAAGACAGCCCCTTTCTGTATATTTGTTGGGGTCCCAAGACCATCTTTCTTCCCCTGGGTTATGGGAACCTCAGGCTGTGTTTCTCTTGAGGATTCACAGGAACAAACTCTGAACAGTTGAGAACCACATTAGTCTGTGGCTCTTAGAGAACAGCCCCACTAGACTGTTATCTTTGAAACTGTTGATCTTTTTGTTGTTAGACATTCCACCTGGCTGGTAGTTTTAAAACACTAAACAGTAATTGAAAAATTAGGGAGACTTTGTTAAAGCAGGACTTGAAAAATAGTTGCTTCAGAATCCCCAGGAGGCTTTACACTTGGGAATGAGGTGGGAGTAGATACTTATAAGTTCATCATTAACACTGCTTCTTCTCTGGGCTTGGGGAAAGGTAGCATTAAGCTCTCCATAGTCTTTTTCTGGTGATCATACAGGTTGAAGTCTGGTTTGGGCAGTTGTAATCTGACTGTCCAGACTTGCCCTGTAAATTTTGCTTAGGGAAGAGCAGAAGTTTCTTGAGTTTGGAACAAGAAAAGCTAAATATCTCCGGGTCAGTTTCACTTGATTTGCTTTATCGTATACTTTAAAAAAAAAAAAAAAAAACCAACAAAACACCAGTATTTGACAGTTTATACAAGGGTCCTGGAAGTGCTGTTCTTTCTCTTCAGCACACCTAAA